GACATTGTTCTGTCTACCACATGGGACTAGGACGTGGACATCTTTGGGGACATTATTCTGTCTCCCACATGGGATTAGGACGTGGACATCTTTGGCGACATTATTCTGTCTACCACATGAGATTAGGACGTGGACATCTCTGGGGACATTATTCTGCCAACCACACCTTCCCAAGCTGGCAGAGTCACCGCAGCCGGATCCCAGGACAGGTGTGGGATGGGACAGGTGTAGGGGGGCAGGTGCTGGGGGCAGGCCGTGTGCACAATGGAGCCTCACACGTCAGGGACGCCTCGCCCGCCACCCTGCCTTGGGAGAAGTTCCACGCACCCCACTTGCACACGTAGTAGAGATGTAGATTTTTTCACTTGTCCCTGGATGCTGACATTCTGGGACAACCCAAACGACACTGGTGACTCTAATCTAGGTGAACACAAGTCTAAGGAAAAGAAATTAATTAAACAACAGTCCCCAGCACCCAAAGGGAAAGGGAGCACTACTCCACTTCTCCTCAGCATTTCCCGTGGCAGCCCTGCCACGGTCCGGCTGTCCCCCTGTGAGATGCACACGAGTGTCTCTGACACCCCAGGGGACCCTGGACGCTGTGCAGCCCGGAACGTCCCTCCCGGAGCTGAGGACCCGTCTCTGCCACGGGGCCCCGTCACCGCCTCTGGGTGGGTTTGCTCCAAGAGGTCACTTCCCGTTCCTCCAAAAGATGGAGTTTTATTTTTCCTATTGACGACAACGGCTAACACGCACGTGAGGGGCTGCGTCTGCCCGGCTGCGTGAAGGTGAGACTCTGTCACTACATCTCTTAGCGGATGGCCTGCGCCACCAACGCCGTCTGTCTGACACTTCCTCAAGATAGAGCTGCTTCTCTCTTGCATCTTGTGGACGGCTGTCCCGGGCTGCCAGGAGGCCGATTTCTAGCGTTTCTCCAACCGCACCGTGGGGAAAGCACGTCACCATCTGCAAAGCACGTCACCTACGACACAGCCGGACAGGAAGCCACCGTCTGCGCCCACCAGGGCCACGGCTCCCAGCAAGCTCCGGAGGAACCGCAAACCCAGAACAAGGCTTCACCTTCCCGCCACGGAAACGGCCAGTGGGCGAGCAGTCCCCAGCACCCCTGAGACGTTCGGGACCCGTCTGGGGTGGACATGTGGCTGCCCACTCGGCAGCGGTGCCCCCGGCCCTGGCGGTCGCTGCCACGGACGCCCAGGAGCGAGACGGGAGCTGAGACAGATGGAGGCGGCCTCTCGTCTGACGCTGCAAAATACATCTCCCCGGCCGCCAGGCGTCCTTTCATCCTGGAAAGAGCTTCCGGAACTTGCCGTAGGCAGCATTGCTGATGATGACCTTCACGTCGGCCACCCCGTCCTCGGGGATGACGTCCACCTGTTGTACCGTTGCCTCCCGGTGCAGCCAGCTGGGGACAGGGACGCCGGCAGGGACCCGAAGGATTTGGTTAGCTTCACGCTAACGCTGGCCCTACAGGGAGCCTGGACTGTCCCCAAGCCCCTCCCTGTCACCAACCCCCTGCTCGGAGCTTTGGTTTCCCTGGTGGGGTGCACGGTCAGGGTCACGGTTAGGGGGTGCAGGGTCAGGGTTAGGGGGTGCAGGGTTGGGGTTAGGGTTAGGGGTGCAGGGTTGGGGTTAGGGTTGGGGGTGCAGGGTCGGGGTTAGGGTTAGTTGGGTGCAGGGTCAGGGTTAAGGGGTGCAGGATTAGAGGATGCAGGGTCAGGGTTAGTGGGTACAAGGTCAGGGTTGGGGGTGCAGGGTCAGGGTTAGCAGGAGCACGGTCAGGGTTAGTGGATGCAGGGTCGGGGTCAGGGTTAGCGGGTGCAGGGTCAGGGTTAGTGGATGCAGGGTCGGGGT